GCCTCAGTCCAAGGGCAACAACAAAATTTAAACTTATATAGTGGGGCAGGAAGTGATGTGAGCAAACCCAGAGAGCAAAGCAGTATTGTGTTCTATCTTAGAGCAAAGCAGTATTGTGTTCTATCTTGGAAAAATCAAATCCTTCTACTATAAAACTGATAGCATTAGGTAATGCTTATTGTTATAGCCTACAAGGTACTGGCTGAATGTATCTCTGATGCCAAATATTCCCTCCCCTATTCTGATACAATGGGTGAAATTGTTAAGATTTGGAGTTCTTTAGACCTGGGTTTAACTTTTGTCTTTATGGTTGTGTGATTCTTTGAATATCAAAACATAGTCAACACTGCATTTGTTATTTGATAAATATTCAATAAATGGTCAGTGGATTTGTTATAATTATATCACCGTAGTAAGACATTATTTCAAAATATTAGCTAAACTTTCTTTTCCTATTTTTCTTCACACTCTGCCTTTCTTTACTTCCAAAATTATTTTATGTATTCCCATTACAGGGGAGGTAAAAAGGTAGTCAAGGTAAAGAAGACATTGCTTAGCTTTCACTTTCAATTTCCATATATTAAAAAGCTAGGTTGAGAATATAAAAAGCCTGGGGTCTCTTCCTAACACTTATCTTTTCTTAAGAAGATTAGAGGACTTCAGGGAAAGCCAGGAAAAATGGGAATTTGATCATGTCAGAAAAATCACTGGAAGATTAGATAATGATTTGACCAAGACAGCATGTGTGGAAAGATCCAAGGGGATGTGACTAAGGTTTATAGGCATCTAAACCATCAGAATCTTCTATCATTTAGAACATAACAAATAAAAACTACTGGAAATTGATAGTTTAGGTAACATCATTCATGTAATTCAGAACACAAAATAAAACATTCAAAATAGGGTTCATAGATCAAGTGAGAGTAGTTTAGGTAATCTGCTCTTTCAAATATCTTCTATTGTGCCAACTGTGCAAACAATAGCAGCTCTTTAGATTATAATGAAAGTCCAAATTTAAAAAAGGTTAAAAATGATATGGACTTGAGACTTCTGGTCAAGATGGTGGCACAGGTAGACATGGCTCGCCTCTTCTCACAAACACATCAAAATGACACATGTAGAACAACCATTACTCAGAACCATCAGAAATCAAGTTCAATAGAAGTCTAACAACTATGAAATTAAAGAAACCACATCCATCCAGACTGGTAGGAGGAATGCAGATGTGGAATGGTCTGGTCCCTCACTCACATGCAGTGGACAAAACCTTGGGACGGATATGTCAGGAGCAAGGAGTCCCAGCCCCACACTAGGGCCCCCGGCCCAGGGTTCCAGTGCCAGGAAGATAAGTCCCCACAACTTGTGGTTGCAAAAAACAGTGGGGATTGAGACAGTGGAAGAAATTTCTGGAGCCCCAAGCAGTTCCTCTTAAAGAACACATGCATGGACTCACCTATTCAGACTCACTCCCTCTGGCTCCAGTGCCAGGGTAGCAGCTTGAAAGGTACCAGTGGTATACAGAAAAAAACTGAAGTATCCGGCTTCCAGGTGAGCAGAGGCCATTGTCCATTTTCTAAACACCCCACCCACAGAACTGGCAAGCAGGTGCTGTATCTGAGACTCCATCAACCTGACTAACACTGACACATGTTGGAAATCCCCAGAGAGTCCACCACACCCAACTTACAGGCCCACCCAAGCTGCTTTTCCATATGAATGGCTGGTCTTGGCAACTGCTTCACAGCTTCCTAAATCCTCTCAAACAAGCAACAGCTGGCCTCAGTGAACCCCAGGCCCGGCATTAGCAGCAGCCAGCCTGATTCACAACTTGGCTTCACCTGGGAATCTCCAAGCCTGGCACAAGTATCAGCCATCTCAGATTGATTTATGGCTCAGGCACGGTGGCCCCAGGGAAACACATGTGAAGGCCGACCTTGGTCTGCACCACCTAGGAAATCCCAGGGCCAGCACACACAATGGATAGCTACAGACCACATCACAGCACCACTACCCTGCTCCTGTATGGTTGATCCTCCATTGAGGGTGAAGGTTGGTGGTCAGTGGTCACACAGGCAGTCCTTGCAGCTGACCGGCCTAGGTAAATCCCTCCTATTGATCTGCCAATATCAAACAAGGCTCAACTACAAGAGAAGGGTATACTCAGCCCACATGAAGGGCGCACCTCCAGTACCCAGCTTGGGTGATAGGAGAGGCTGTGCTCCTGGACTCTATAGGAAACCTCCTACATTAGGGTACACTACCAAGATAGGGAGTCAAAGCAGGTCTACCTAATACATAGAAACAAACACAGGGAGGTTGCCAAAATGAGGAGACAAAGAGACATGGTCTAAATGAAAGAACAGATCAAACTCCAGAAAAAGAGGTAAATGAAATGGTGTTAAGCAATCTGTCAGATGCAGAGTTCAAAACACTGGTTATAAGGATGCTTAAGGAACTTAGTGAGGACCTCAGCTGCATAAAAATGATCCAGTTAGAAACAAAGGATTCCCTAATTGAAATAAAGAACAATTTACAGCAAAACAGCAGTAGAATGGATGAAGCCAAGAACCAAATCAATGATTTGGAACTTAAAGAAGAATAAAACAACCAATCAGAACAACAAGAAAATAAAAAGACTCCAAAAAAATGAAGACAGTGTAAGCAGCCTCTGGGGTAACTTCAAGCATTCCAATATTCGCATCATAGGGGTGCCAGAAGGAGAAGAGAAAGATCAAGACATTAGAAATCTATTTGTAAAAATAATGAAAGGAAACTTCCCTAATTTGGTGAAGGAAATAGACATGCAAGTCCAGAAGGCACAGAAAGTCCCAAATAAGATGTTTGCAAAGAGGCCCACTCCAAGACACATCATAATTAAAAGGCCAAAGGTTAAAGATAAAGAGAGAATCTTAAAAGCAGCAAGAGAAAAGGAGTTAGTAGGACCTACAGGGGAGTTCCCATAAGACAGTCAGCTGATTTCTCAAAAGAAACTCTGCAGGCTAGAAGGGACTGGTAAGAAGTATTCAAAGTCATGAAAAGCAGAGACCTACAGCCAAGATTTCTCTACCCAGCAAAGCCATTATTTAGAATCCAAGGGCAGATAAAGAGCTTCCCTGACAAGAAAAAACTAAAAGAGTTCATTATCACCAAACCACTATTACATGAAATGTTAAAGGGAATTAATTAAGAAGAAGAAGGAGATCAAAACTATGAACAATAAAATGGCAATAAATATGTATCTATCAACAATTGAGTCTAAAAAACAAACAAGGAAACAAGAAGAAAAGAGACAGAATCATAGATACGGAGAGTGTTTTGATGGTTGCCAGATGGAAGGGGGTGTGGGGGAATGGGTGAAGAGGTGAGGGAATTAAGTAGCACAAATAGGTAGTTACGGAATAGTCATGGGGATGTAAGGTACAGTATAGGATATAAGAGCAGCTGAAGAACCTATACTCATGACCTGTGGACATGAACAATGGTGTGGGGATTGCCTGAGGGAGTGGGGAGTACTGGGTAGAGGGGGGTAAAGGGGAAAAAGTCAGGACAACTATAATAGCATAATCAAAAAAATATAATTTAAAACTATGGACTCAGTGCTTAGTAAAATAAAGGCTTTGGAAATTGGCATATTTTCAAATCCCATCTTGGCTACGTACAGTAATACTTGTGTTATCTTCCTCAGTAAGACATTTAACTTCCAGGAACCTCAGTTGCCTTATCAGTAAAATGGAGATGATAATTGATCTCAGAATTTTTTGAGGCTTAGCAAGAATAATTTTAAGAATTCCTAGCTCATTGCTTGGTACCCATTCAACAAAAGCTCTGACATTAACAATTTCCTCATAATTCTTTCAAGCAGTGGCAAAAAAATTAATACTTTGTATGAATTGGCAAGAAAATTAGGAACAAAGAACAAATAGGCAAATCAGCCCTTAAAATAAAAAAAATAGTTTTGCTACAGCACAGACTTTACCCTAATGGAAAAAAGGGCAAGTTAAATAGAGAGGAGTGTTAGGAATGTTTATTAAACTGCTTTCCTTCACAAATCTGACCATTTATAGTTCTACCTGTGGATTTATGCCAGAGGATCCTGGAAATGTGGTAGTGTGGGCAATTGCTTCATCCTCCTTTGTATCATTCAGTGCAAAACAGGTGGTCAGTGAAAAAACAGTGTATAAATGTGATCAAGAAACCTTTATCATCTGCACTATTTGTCAATTTGCATATGCTTTCTATATTACAAGTTTGCCTTATATATGAATCACTCTCAAATGACCAAGAAGGAAAAAACTGAAGTCATCTAACACGTGGTTTAAGGAGCCCAAGAAATTTCCTCTTTGATTATATGCATATTTATGACTGACCAGAGGCAAATAACAATTACCATTTCCATGAAAATAATATTTACTTGTCCAGTTTGAGTCAAACTATTAGGTGTATAATCATGGAAACAATGTGCTTGTGCAGTTTCCTATCTGTTGGTCCACACTTGGAACGAAAATTAGCTTGTCTAAATATAGCTAAATAAACAGGATTGAAAGACTGCTGGATGAATTCTAAAATACTCAGTACAGTTTATTATAGCTGATCAGTTTAAACAAGGTACAAATTGAGATTCACTTCAAACTACTGGGCCAGGGAACACAATTAAAAGAGACACTCTTTACCTATACAAAAGTAAAGCTGGCCTTTCAGTACTGATTACAAGGTGAGAGAAAATGAACACTGACAGCACTGCAATCAGCATTTGTAATTCGCAAGTGCTGTACAGAATACAAGTCCACAAAGGATAGATATTGCTTTACAATTTTCAGAGGAAAATACCTATTGGCTCCAAAGCATCACACATACAGTTTCATATGAAAAGTGAAGTTATAAACTGGACATGGAAAGATTATAAGAGCTGCCATCTGGTTCTGTGGGTAATGTTTCTTTCCCCTTAATGAGACAAATATAGGATATTCAGAAAAAACATGAGAAGAGGGAACTCTTCTTACCTCCATCCAGCTCCTCAGTCCCAAAATGATTCCTGTAGAAAAGCATGATTTCTATTTTGTAACACTTATAGATGGTCACCAAACAAACAAGCAGCAAAAGGATAGCACCAAGCCCTCCAGCAAGTTCAACTGTGTACATCAGCTCTAGGAAAAAAAAACCCACAAGAGAGAATTAGACCATTTTCACGTTGAAAATCATAAATTCAACTTGATTTCACAATTTTATGGGTAAGACCAGATATGGGCAATGAATCGCCCCAGCCCCTTCCCCTTTTGCAGGAAAATCTGACCTTTGGATAACTTTCTAGTTTTGTTTCCTTGGTAACCAGATGAGGTGGCATGTGGTAACTGTGTTGCTAAGCAACATTGCTTATGGTAAAAATGAACCTATGTTGGTAGATTGTATTTGGATGGAGAGAATTATAAATACCTGTTTGGAAACTCTAACTTTTGGCTTGCCTGAGTGCGGTAACTCTTAGATACAAACATATCTCTTGTAGGGATTCTGCAAGGTATGCTTATAGTGTTGGCTTCTGTTGCTATGAAACTTTTCAGCCAGGATGGCTTCTTAATTCACCTAGTGTGAATCTTTATCTTTCTTGCCCTGAGCTGACACCTGGGGACTGGGGCTGAGGGGAGATGAGGAGTGACAAAGCACAGTTTCCAAAGGGCAGAGTGGACTGTTGCAGAGAGTGCTGGGTGGACCACATAATCAATACTGTCTCTTGGCTCTTGCCAGGGGCAATGACTCTTGTCCTATACCTTTCTGAATAAAGTAGCGCCACAGTCTTGGAAGCTAAATGCTTACTATGATTGATTAGAAGTAGTCCACCCAGTGAAAGTTACACCAGACTGTGTTGGAAGTATTTTCCTCTCACTGAGCTACTTAAAATGTTATTCTTTTTCTTTGTTTCCCCTTTCACTAGGCATGTTACTACATTCTATCCAAAAAAGAGAGATTTTTCTGGCCATTCATAGTATACAAGTTCTCTTATTCCTATTAAATATCCACATTACATCAGAACTTATCAGGCAATTTGGGGGATAAAATATCCACTTCTTTTTTGTCCTTTAGGATTCATGGACATTGAAACAAATTCAAGGCTTCTGTTATTTAAACATTAGGCTACATTGCACAGACTTTGAAACTCGCTTCACCTGATTGCCTGTGTCTGCAGGTTGTTCTTGACCATCATAGTCCAAAGGTTGTTATCGATGGGTAGCCATCTTGAAAAGTACCATTGTCCTTCATTGTCATTAAAGATAAATAATCCTACAATAATGGTATTTTGGGGTTTGTAATTTAGATTTCATCAGTGGGTTATCTAATTTTGTTATAGTCAAAGTAGGCTTAGATTGAGAATGTTCATATATGATTTTGTAGTGATGATTACTCTTGGATTACAAGATCATTGCTGAGAGCTCATAATGAATGGGGGTGACATCACCATGGGCACAGTGCAATATCAGCAGTAAATAAACTGAAAAGTGCAGCTATCACTGCCTCACAAGGATGGTGTATGTGTGTGTGTGTGCTTGCATGTGATGTCGCTTTTCTTGTGACCATGGGAAAAACCTCTGCCTAACTTCTCATTTCCTAGTCCTTCATTTCTAATTCAACAGTTTAATAAACAAACACATACAACTGCTGTTTAATCAAGTGTGTTTTCCTGTTATTGAAATTAAAAGGGACAGAGAAGAAAGTCTTATAAAAAGTGATTGGATTTTATGTACTTAAGAAAGAAAAATGAGGTGAGCTATTAAATCTTTTAGAGTCTAAGTAAATTAAAATGAAGTATGAAAGTACCTCCAGGTAATTTAATATTTTATAATTATAAATATCAGACAGCTTTATCTGCTGACTTTTGTGAGGGACTACACAAAATAGTCCTACAAATGTACCAGGAATGGAATACAAAACATTATTCAGCACAATGTTTTCCCAATACTGTGTAAACATAAAGGGTAAGTGGGTAGATAATTATGTGGGGTACACTGAGTTTTGCTCTCTCAGGATATGTGTTAAACTCCACCACCCATAGAAACCTGCCTAAAACTTATACCCATAGGCTAATTTATGTATTAGAAAAACCTGCTTTAAATGATAGTGAACATGATGGGAGTGATAAACTGGACTATGCCTTCTTTTAAGATCCATTCTGTTTTCTAATTTAATACATTAAACACTTGGAATGTATTGCTAAAATGTCTTGTGGGAGAAAATAAATGGAAAAGTAATGGAGAACACCTAACTTCTATTCCCAAATATTGCTAGTGGTAGTGCTTAATGGTCTTACTATATTAAAACATTTGGGGTAGTTTCTAATGAATTTCAATATGAATGTACCCTATCAGCACTAATTATATTCTTAAGTATTTCCAAAGGAAATATAAGCAGAGGTCCACAAGACTTGTACAAGAATGTTCAGAGTAGTCTTATTCAAAGTAGCAACAACTGGACACAACCCAAATGCTCCTTAACAGGAGATAAAGAACAAAGTGTTGTGTGTCCAAATGATAGAATATACTCAGCAGCACAAGCAATAAAAACTACTGATACATGTAGCATGTATGAATCTCACAAAATGATATTAGGTAAAGGAAGCCAAGCACAGAGTAATACTTTTTATAGAATTCTATTTGAATGAAGTCCAAGAGCAGGTCAAAATTAACCATAGTTATAGAAATCACAAAATGATTGTTTTGCAGATGGGTTATGGAAAAAATGTATTGGAATGAAGCAAGAGGAAACTTTCTCAGGTGCAAGAAATATTCTGGGTTTTTTTGGTGTAGATATACAAGGATATACATTTGTTAACACACAATACAGTGTGCAGGTGATGTATTGCACAATTTCTGCACCTGAAACATGTATAATTTTGTTAACCAATAAATTCATTGAAAAGGAAATAACTCATTGAGCTTAACACAGGATCTATGCATTTTATTGAGTTGGCCAAAAAGCTTATTCAGTTTTTTTCCATATGATGGCTCTAGTAGTGCTTAGCTGTCTTAAACTTCTCGAAACAATTTTGGCAGATTCTATTGTGACATCTGCCATATCAGTGTGCATTTAAAAAAATTATCAAAATTGGTGAATTTTTGTGTGTCCATTTTAATATTGAAGAGATGGAAGAAAATATACAACATTTTCAGCATATTGTGTTTTATTATATCAAGAAAAGTGAAAATGCAAAGGTAAGAAAAGATTTGTGCAGAAGATGCTCTGAGTGAACATGTCAAAAGTGATTTGTGAAGTTTCTTGGTACTATTGACCTTTTGGCCAAATCATTCTTTGCTATGGGGCTGTCTGATGCATTGGAAGATGTTTAGCAGCAGCCCTGGGCTCTACTCACTAAAAGCCAATAGTGGGAGATAGCTGACATACTCAACATATCCATATCGACAGAGTTATTGGTGAAAATGAAAAATGTGTCTTTTATTTTATGGGAAAAAAAGTAATGGACCTTTTTGCCAACCCAGTATTTTATTAATTGTAATTCAATTGTTAAAGAAAAAAAATTTTAAAGAAAAGTTCTAACCCAAGGCCGATGTGGGGAGATGCTGTAAAGAAAGATGGAAGCAGACAGCTGATCTGCAGGGAGCAGTTCTTCTTGGTGCCCCAAGCATGCCCTTGGATTCTGGATGCATCCCACTGGGCCTGGGCCTCTAGCACGCCTTACACACCTATCTAGTTGAATAGATCTCAAAACCATCAACACCTATGCCCTAAAGATAATCCTATTAATCTAATGAGCAGAGTTCTCATTTTCTTTGGGTGGTATTTATAATACTGGTCTCTATACAGTTCTTAAAAAGTTTAAAAAATGGATATGTATAAGTTAGAGAAAAATTTTATAAAGGTAATCCCTTTTTATTTTTAGAGAAGTACTTGCACAGATGTGAATGGTTCCCATTTCTAGATGTCATGAACTACTCAAAAAGTTTTGTATACTGTTTACTAGGCCAATCAATTATTACTGTCTGAAATGTAATGAGAAAAAGAGAGCAAGGTTGATGTGGCTAAGCCATTACAAAGTGGTCTTGTATAGCCTGCATACCTCCTTTAAGGTACAAACATGGAAGGATATACATACCTAGAGTATGGGCAATAAGCAAGAATAAGTCTTCAGAGCCACAGGATAGCTTTTTACTAATAAGAATACCAAAACCAGTTCAGATAAATGGCATTTATAAGGAGCTAATGGATACTGAAATCCTGAGATTATCTCACATTGTTCCCGATACTTCTGTAGAATTACATGCAGAAGCATAATGGTCTTATAATGTCCTTGAAAGTCAGTAAAGAAATGTGTCTTTCTGCACAGTACACACACCAGCACCTGCTCCTCAGTTACAGGATTTTTATGCATGAGTAATTTATATGCCTTCACATTATAAATGTCTGTAGGTTAAAAATTTTCCATTTCATTCAAGTTACTTGCATTGGTTTATAAAGCATGTATAAATTCTCCCAAAGAAAATGGTGTATTACATGTAGTTTCCACATTTCTTTTGCTCCAAGCTCAGCACAATCATTAATGAGTGTTACCCTCGCCCTCATTCGCACCAGGACAAATTTACCAGGGGTTAAACCCTGTTACAGTTAAAAGAAATGATTGGGGCCCACATCTGTATTTTATCTTTACATTGAACTGGAACTGCCTTATGACCAAAACACTAATTTGAAAGAATATCTTTACATTACAATATGAGCTGTGTTGCCCTAGCAAATGTCATTTTTCCTTTTGAAATGGGATCTGCTTTTCAACTCAAGTTCAAGTTGCCTGGAGTAGCAGCATTTAAAAAATAAAAAGATTTCATTTCAGCACAAGTTAACATCAGAGGATGGAAAGAGAAAGTGCAGACCTTTTAAAATCTGTTTAGCTTTTGTGTTATTTTGTTAAAATGATAGACTTTTCTCCCTTTAAAGTACTGAGACTGAATATTGAAAATTGTAAAGCAAAATCACTGGGGAAAACCTATGGGAAACTGGCATTTGGTTAAACACAACAAATGAACAAATGCCAAAGAGTTACATTTAAGGGCACCAGTAGTCATTTAGTTACAGGCAATTAACAATAGTCCTTGGAAAGCTTCACTATGGGCTAAGGGAAAACACATTGATTATTGCTGCAGTAGTA